GTTTAGAAATTTTATTGTTAGTTGAATTTCTAGAAAGAGAAATGATGTTGACAGTTGTTGACATTTATGAATGCTTATGTTGAAGGAAGAAGTCAGTTGTTTGGGGATTGGACTGGTGCTTTGTGGTGAAGCTGAGTTTATTGATAATTAAGAATATATTGGTTTCGTACCTGAGCAGTCTCATTAAATAGTCCTTTTTTTTTGAAATGATTAATAAATGGCACTGTGTGATACGTTAGATATCCAGGCCTCCTTCTGGCATAGGACTCCTCCTGTTTATTGTTGGCTGTCAAATCTGATGAAATATTAGAGTCTTATCCCACTCTTAAAGATGCTGTGACATACAGTAGCTAACAGGGGCAGTGATCCCTGCATTTTAAGTATAGCAGGTCCTGCATTTTGTACATAGTTGCCCTAGTTCTTCTCTGCAGAGATGGGAAGTACCACTCTTCGAGGAGAACAGATCCCATTGCAGCCCCAGGGACTCTCCATGTCAGTAGATCTTCCAGAGCCTTTTGGCCATTACCATGTTGTAATTTGCACTGTATTTACTAGAATTGCTGTACTTTCTTCAGCCTTTCCTTAGAAATTCAAGGACACTGGTCACCACCATGGCCAAGAAGATGCTGACGCACGCACACAGCAGTCGCTAATGCTGGCAGGGCCATTTTCTTCTACACTGAGTGGACTTGATGGATGGCCATGCTTTTACATTTTTGCTTTTGCTGTTTATATATTTTCTCCTCCCCTGACACAAGTAGGGCTTGAATGACCTTAGAGGCTTTGTGAGGTGAGTTGGATTGGGCTTGGATGTAGCCTACCAACTGTTGATGGAGAGGCTGCTGATTTTATAACTAAGGAGTGGCGTGAAATTTCTTCTAAAATAAACCAATTTAGTTTACAGAGGGAGTTCATCTAAAGAAGAATAACAGTACACATAGAGGAAGGATAAGGTAAAACTGGGCAACCTGATTCTCAAATGGCCCAGTGTGGGGAAAAAACCCTGATTTTTCCTGGGAGTGAGGAGTTTCACAGAACACACATGAAGCCCCAGAGGGTCATGCCTGGAGTAGGCTCTGATTCCATAGGTCTGGTGTGGGGCCAGGGTGTGCTGATAGCCTTCACATCTCAAGTTTTGACCCACACATCAGCAGCACTGTTTCATTGCATCACAGGAAGCCTGCTGGAAATGCCAGCTCCCAGCCTTCCCTGTATCTGGATCTGTAGTCACAAGAACCCCAGATGTTTCCAGGCAACATTAAAATGTGGGACACACTAACCTAGCATACTATTGGGGGTCTTCATTGCATAGGGAGCCCTTGCAAAGAGGCAACTGAACACCACACATCCAGTCCTCACCTAGAAGCAAGGCTTTTATTTCTTGGTTTCCTACCCACTTCCAAAGAGCATGCCAAAGGATGCTTCCAGATCTGAGCAGCCCTCTATGGAAATACTTTCACTATCTGTAGGTCTGTCCATTCCTCTGCATGCCCTCCTCTACCCCTATTTACATTTTTAAGCCCTAGGTCTTCTGAGTAGCTGTCTCGCTGTCTGAATTCTGTGAGGCAGATGCTGGTGGCTGGAGCATGGCTGGAGAAGGGACATCTATCTTTTTGGTACTGCTGCTTCCAGAGGGTATAATTTGTCTGATAGATGTGTTCTGGCTGCAGCTACTTGGGACAGGGTGAGGGATTGTGCAAAAGGCTGAGTGCACCAGGTTTAGAAAAATTACCACAAGGCAGGTAAAATCTGAGACAAAATGAGGAAAGGAACTGCTCAGTGGGTTATCTGGTTCCTGGACCTGTGGCTTACTATGTGGGGAATCAAGGCTTGGGGGCTCTGAGAGTGTATGATTGTTATGGATAGTAACATTCTATGGGTGGCAGATCGTGTTCTAGAGGTAGCCGCAGCCATATCCTGCATCTACCTATTTTTTGTAGTGGGATCTTGCTACACCCCAGTCAAGAGATGAGGTTACTTCTCCATTGAATATGGCTGACTTTAAGACTCACTCCTAATGAAGAATGTGCTAGAAATGATACTCTGCTTCTCTGGAGGTGAGGTTAGAGAAAGCCACTCAGCTTTTTCCTGCTTCTCTTAGAATGCCTGTTCTAGGTAGAGCCAGTGGCCCTGCAGAATTCTGATGGCCTTGAGACAGCTGGAGAGGTATGTGTAGTTGTCCTGGGTGGCAGCTCCAGCTGGGCTTCCAGCTGACAACCAGCGTCCATGGCTGGCTACATGGGCAGCCATCTTGATAGGCAGCACAGCCCATCCCCCAGGGACTGTGGCCTAGATCAGTGTCATTTTCTGTGAACATAACTGGAGTATTCTGGAAGCCTGAGTTATCACAAGTAGGTAACATGCTCTTAAAATGATATTTCAAATAAAATTCATTCTGTTTCATTTCATTTTAAATGTTTCAAAACAACGCTTAGGATCCAGGAACAGGCTGCCACAAACTCAAACAAACAAAACCTTGAAAACTGTCTAGTTAACAATATGCAGCTTTTAGACTACAGTAAAATGATTATAGCAATAAGATACTAGCTTCTGTTCATGTTCTGTTAGGCATTCCATGTATATTCTTTCATTTAACTTTCATTCCAGCTCTTTAAAGTGTGTTCATTTTATAGAAGGGGAAATTGAGGTGCAGAGATATTAAGGGAAGGACTAGCCAGGATCTACACAGCCAGAGCTGCAGTTTGAAAGCTGATGGTTTGACTCCAGAGCCTTCTTGCAGCAGATGCAAGAGTTGTCAAGGAGGAGAATTAAGTCACCAAAGTCGATTACCCTTAGAGACAGGGTGTGGGGCCCTAAGGCATCATTTAGTTTAGTGATGGAGACTTAGGGCCCATCAAGGAACCTAGGGGAGTCTTTTAAATATTCATTACCAAGCCATGTCCATACTCTCTGTAGGCCTGGGTTGGGGTAGTCTCCCTAAGGTTCTTACATTCTGCAGTGGACACCCTAATTTAGTCCACCCTTCCCTGATGCAAGTGATCACCATGAGGCCCCAGGAGAAGTGGCTTGTTCCCACAGCCCAGAGCAGCTGCGAGCATGTTTGCCAGAGTCTGAATCAGGTTCTCCTCCATGACTCACTGGGAGGAAGTGGAAGTTCTTGTGTACAGATAAAGTGATCTCAGTGCACATATGATCAGATTCTGCAGTAAAGATGTTCCTGGTTCAGGTAGCTGAATTGTTGGCTGGGACATGTGATGATGCTCTGCATGGGCCCATTCTGTCATCTGGCAAGTATTTAAAAAGTGACTTCCATGTGCCAGGGCACAATGCTGAGTAGAACTGTCATAGCACTCCTTTATTTTTGAAATTCCATCAATACAGATTTTTAGGACTTAAAGCCTCACAGCTAATGGAGGGAGTCAAGAGAGAGGGAGGGAAGGAGGGAGTATGCAACATGTAGAGAGAAAGATAACATGAAATTTTAGGCTTCTTTTGCATACACAAGAGAATTTCATATGGGGCTGATCAAATTAAGAATATTACTGCAAAGGTATTCAGAGTCTCATGCAGACATTAAGTGCTGTGGTGTCTGAGTCCTCCAGGGGCCAGCTCATCCTAGTGGGCTCTGAGCTTATAGGCCTGAAGTAGTCCCTGCCTTGCATATCTTCACAGTGTGGCAGAAGATACAGAGGAATCATAATCACACCACATATGGAGTCTGGGATAGAAACCATGGCTGTGAGGTCCTGAATTCTGGTTAGCCATCGAGACAGCTTTAAGGATGACTCTTTGTTCAGGTTTGCTCCAGATTGAGGGGTTTCCTGGGATCTAGGATTTTCATTTCTGGGTAAACCAGGACCATTGACCACCCTACATGATTCCCAGAGGAAAAGGAGCTGACTACCTCCTCTCTTGGTCCATGTTATCCTTTTCCTGGAAGCCCAAAGCAGAAACCTTAGAATAGGCTTTGCTCACTCTCATCTGTCCACCTGTATGTCCTTCCCTGCTGCCCTTGTCCACTCTGCCACCATCCCTTGCCAGGACAGCTATTACAACTTCCCAACCATCCTGTTTTCCTTTCTCTGCTCTGCTCTGAGTCCCATCCTCTCCTCTGCCAGGGCCATGACTTGTATTGGATTTCCATCTAATCTGCTGAATCTCTCATTGGCTCAAAATCAGAATTCCTTGGCCTAGCACTCAAAGCCTAGGAACTCCTTACCCTTTCACCATGTTGGAAGCTGTGCTGAACAAAATCACCATATAGAATTGGGCCAGAGTCCTGGGACAAGACTGATGGCTGGAAATACAAACTCGGGCATTCCTTCCTCACTGTTACTCGCAGTTCTTCCCTTGGTGATATTTGCTGCCAATCAGTTAAGACTCAACATGGACAGGAGTGTTGCGGTTTCTTGGGGTGAATGGTGTGTGGGGGGGAGAAGAGATCAGGAAGTAGAATGCCTACAGCTGTTACATCAGCTGACCCAGAATATGCTTCGTTTCCCTTTACCTCCCTTCTTTCCTCTTCACTAATTTCCTCTCTGGTCCCAATCTTCCATCTTCTCTTGGAAGCTTTTCATTCTCACTCTACCCCTAGTGGAGGTAGTAGTGTCAGCATTGTACCATCTGAGTGACATGGGGGACAAAACTGGACAGTTCCACTACTGGTGGGGCCAGTTGCTCCCTCACTTTTTTTCTACCTCACACCTTTCCTGTTCCCAGAGACTGTGCTGGTGGCCTGGTCTTGCTCCTGTCTGAGCCACTGTGCTGCAGTTCAGTTTCCAGCTCACTTTGGAGCCCCAAGTTCTTAGAGTCTTTGTGAGGCAATCTCACAGTCATTTTCTTCTGCACCTCATTGGTTCTTCTTGCAGGTGGTGACAGTGACTTTTTGTGTTTCCCTACTTGGAACTGGCTGAGAACCATCAGCAGAGGCTGCTCATTTCTGCCCTTTTTGGAAGGCAGAGAGCAGTGGTGGCCCCCTTGGGACTTCTGGCAGCGGAAGAATGCTCATCGTTCACACACTTTTCTTTGTTTTGTTTCAGTTTTACAGAGTTTTTGGATCCATTCCAGAGAGTCATCCAGCCGGAAGAGATCTGGCTCTATAAAAATCCTTTGGTGCAATCAGACAACATACCTACCCGCCTCATGTTTGTAAGTACCGTCATTTCATGGCTGATTTGACCACTCTTCCAAGTATGAACCAAATGGGCTTTCATCTTAGCTATTCTAGCCCCTGCTGAAGACAGTGGGCAGCTCAGGATAAAGAGGAGGAGAGGAGAGCAACCTATCAAATTAAAATTTAGTTCCAGATTATGACAGGCACTGCTTGGTCATATGAGAAGTCATAATTGCCCAATGTTTTGAAAAGAGAAGGGACTCAATTACATGGGCTATGCTGAGCTGTTTCAAAATATGTATTAAAGGAAGACAAATGACAAGAACAACCTGTCCCCTCTCCTTCCAGGGGAAGCTTTGATTTTGCCAAACTCGGGCACCATGGATCTCTGGTAAACACTTTTTCTGGTTTTAGCTGGTCACTTGTTAACTAGTCATAAAACTTCCTTGTGCCTTAAACCCTGCATACTGTCCTGTGTCTCTCCCTTCTACAGTAAATGGACAAGGATCCAGATATCCAGTGGGTACACTGGGATTATTTTTACCTCTTGCCCCTGCTGCATGGCAATTGCAGCCTTGTCCACTCCACTTTCTTCATGGCAGGCGCTTTTCTGGGAGCTTCAGAAAGATTCATTGCATTTGGTTTTGCCCTATCCTGGAGAGAGAGGTATCATCTTGTCCGCCACATGTTATAAATGGAGAACTACATCCCAGAGAGCGAAGGAACTTGCCTGAAGTCACAAAGTTAGTGAGTGACAAGGCCAGGTCCAAGAAGCCAGCTCTGGAGCTCAGCCCTCTGCCTCAAAGCTGTCTGGTAAGCTTGGAACAGAGTACCCAGGACTCCCTGCTGATGCTAATTAACCCCTGGAGAACTGCCTTCGATCTTCCTATAGAAGAAGGAATAGTGAATCTCTCCCTTGTTATGGGAAGACAGCAGTAACCTTTAGATGGTCAGACTGGTTCCTTGAAGGTTCTTCCTGTGGACCTACCACTGTGTCTGCATCTCAGAGAACTGAGGGGGCTGTTCCAGAACCCTCACGGAACACATGGGGGCCACTTCTCATTTTGAAAGAAATCACTCTGGTTTTATGGAGGAAGTCTTGTTAACTAACGATGAGTGGAAAGATTTTTGTAAGTGCTCCAAAATACCTGTAACACCACAAGCACATGAAAGTATTGTTACAACTGTGTTTTCATAATTACTTTTCTGCTGGAAAATCAATAGACTTTTGTAAATCTCAGGGAAATTGAAAAATTAGGGTGGTTGGGAGTAGGGCATAACTGAGTATTACAGACTTTTTTCATTTCTGCTCTAACTCAACTCTTCTATAAATCCTAGAAATGAAGGGATCAGTTTGTGTCTAATGAGCTTATGGCTTTAATAGGGGGAAGCTTCCATTTATCACTCTTCTTAAGATTTTTACATTTCATATGCTGTAAAACACAGTTTGGAGATGATATTGTGAGAATTTTGTGGCTGTGTCCTAGATTTATTAACAATGGATTGTTTTGAAGACTAGACACAAATACCACAGATATTCTGGCTACAGACACAAATAGCATGGAGCAATTTGCATGTTGGCAGCAGAAGGATTGAGGCAGAAGAGAAGTTATTCAGTGCTGTGAATCTCAGAGAATAGAAGAGTATTCAGCCACATGTACTGATTCCCACTCTTTAATCTCCTAATGAAATAAGCTCAACCTTTTATTTTGTTAATAGAGATTGATGAATTTCATGCATTTGGTCTTAAGATTTAGTGTAATTCCATAATAAAACAAAGAAGTCAGTAGATACATTTATAATACCTGCAACACAAAGATGAAAAATTCTGTCATCTCATAAATTAGATTTGTTCTCTGGAATTTTATTAAGAGTTTAATATAAGATATCATTTGTCAGCTTTTGATCTTTTAAAAACTTTGGATGTTTGTAGAACAATGTTTAATGGAGCATATATTTTCACTGATATTTAAAATACCTTGATTTCTTTTGAAAGCTCAAATTTCATTATTTAATACATAAACAAAATCTCAGGTCTCTTCACTTTTGTGAGAATGTTTTCATCTAAAGGTGAGCTGTCTAACCAAGATGTTTTAAAGGCTGCTGGTATTGACCCAGATGTTTCTCTATAGGATAATTGCCTCCACAGTCATGATTATGTGTGGGTGTATGTATGTGTATGTGTTTTAAAGAAGCCAGTTGGTCAGATGTAACAAGAAAATTAACAGAATAATGGTTAGGAGATTGAGTTAAGTGCAGAGCAAATGGTAATAGCATCACCAGGAAGTTCCTTAACTTTCCTTTTCTCTGTATGTGGTGTCTTCAGCTCAGGCAACACATCTGTGAACATGAATGTGGTTGGAACTGTTTCCTTCCAAGAGCTCGTTGCCCTTGATGACTCAGTGATGACCAGAGGGACAGGCTGAGAATTCTTTTCAGATGCACTGCAGCTGGACTTACCATTTCCTGGGTATTTCCAAGCAGCCAGCCACAGATATTTCCAAAAAGTATTTACATAAGGTGGCTCTCTTATTCACAAGAGGTCATGATTCCTTGTTGAGTGTGTGGGGTTTATCAGAGCATGCTAAACACCTGCCTTTCAGTGTGGGACAGTCTAAGTGGTATTAGTTGTTGATTTTAGTACACCCTTTGTTATTGTCTGTAGTAGCCATCTCTGTATATTCAGGCTTTCATGGAGCCTGCAGTGGGTAAGGAAACCAGAGGGGCCATAGTGGGTGGGAAGTCAAATCAAATATGTGATATATCCTCAGGAACCCCGCAGGACCTTTGGAGAGATGGCACTCTAATGGAGAAGAGAATCTGGAGAGGCCAGAGGGGAGGCTTAGGAGTTGTTCTAGTATTGTTGCAAGGTGGGGGAAGTGCACACCACTCCTCTCTGGAACACCCAACTGGCAGGATCATAAACTCTCAGCTTCAGTAATGCATTAAAGAGCCAGAGTTTAAAATAAAAGAAGATGGTTTATTTGGAAAAAGATGGAAAAGAAGATAGACAGCTACCCTGAGGAGTAGGGGGCATTAGAAGTGAATACCCCGGAGCTCTTGTCCCTGGCTCTTTTTATTTAGAACTAGTGATTTTCCCATGCCCCACATGGGCACCTGGAAGTTATCACCATCTGATTGGCTATCTGGCTATTTTTGGTCCTAACCTGGTCATGTCTGCCTACATTCTTTCTGGCTGTATGATTTCTTCCTGTCCCTTTGTGATGGTTAAATGTGTGTGTGTGTGGAGGTGGGGGAGAGATTTATAGGAAGGTAGTTAGACTTAATGAGTAAGTAAAGGGGTTATGTGTGTATCTGATGCAATAATATAATGATGTTAAAGTGAGAATATACATACATACACGTGGATATGTCCGTGTGTGTGTGTGTGTGTGTGTGTGCACGCGTGTATGCATGGGTTTTACATACTAAATAAGAGTCCTTAGGTGGCTGCCCCTTATCTCCTTTATCAGGTAGATGAGGGGGGTTGCTTCCCTGGTCTTTTATGCTTCTGGCTCCCTCGGGTTTTGTTAACTCTTCTTGATAAATTCTTATGGTAATTATGTTACCTGGTGCCTCTCTCAGTCTAGTTTCTCTCCTTTGTCCTTCTAATTGCTCTAACTATAGGGTATACCTGTAGAAGCAGAAGCTACTTTTAAAGTTTCCCTATTAATTTTTAATAAAGCCTATCTTTTCTCTGCCTAGAAGTCACCTTTTGCTACACTAGGGAGTTCCGTCGTCGTCGTCATTGTCGTCGTCGTCGTCGTCATCATCATCATCATCATCATCATCATCATCATCATCATCATCATCTTCATCATGAACTTCCATAGCAGCCAGCATTCCTTGAAGACAGGAACTGTGCTCATCACTCTACAAGCAGCACCTCAGTTGATTTTTCTCAGAATCCACTGAGGTCAGCACTTTCGTTGACCCCATAATTTCAGGATGAAAATAAACAGCTTTTCCAAGGTATTATCCATAATGGTCAGTAACTTGGCCACCAGAGCACAGGCCCTCACCTGGAGCCATTCTGTGATTTCTGCTTGGGGACTGGGATGAAGTAGAAAGGTGGCAAGTGACACATCACACACAGAAGAGCAGGTGTGTAAGGGCACATACATGGGAGAATGGGGGGCACCAGGAATAGTTTATTGGGAGTATTTGTAGGGTGAAGCTGCAAAGGAGGCAGGGGTAGCATCGGATTGGATAGCTTCTGGTTGGTTATTACTTAATGGTTAGGAAGCATCTGCCAGGCAGTAGGAGTACAAAGCTGAATAAGATATGGCTTCTAGTTTAGTGGGACCAGGCATGAATGCAAGTTGGATGGTTTGACATCACTGGAAAACCTTTGAAGAACAGATGAGTTTCAGGTAGGAGATTTAAACAGTGATAGGTGTTCATAAGTGTCTTTCCTTGGCTTTAGAAAAAAAACCCTACCGAACACCTGCACTTTACCCTTGTCTCTTTTGGGCCAGCCAAAACATGCCAGCTTTACTCTCTTAGAATCTTACTGACACTGTGTTGATTTGATTGCAAGGTTTCCCCCATTTTGGAGTAGGATGGCTTTAAGGGAGACAAAAATAAAATCTTTTTTGGGGGGAGGAGGTTGGAAGGAAGAGACAAAGCTGTCTCATGATAGACAGTTTAATTGGTAGGCTCCTTTAAAAAGTCTTTGACAGCTCTTTTCTTTGTGTCAAGATGTAATTGTTTTCCCACAGTAGGTGTCGGTGTGTCACTTTGCAGCACACCTTTCTACCAGGTGCCAGAAGTGAAGGTACTTCAGGCCCATTGTTCTGTCTGATGTGAATGCACCTCAGTGACAGGCTCTTCTGTGGCCCACACCCTGGCACTGGGGCTCCACTGGCTTTGACCCTTTCTTACCATCCTCATGTTCTTTCCCAGTCACAAGGTCTGTCCTTTCTCAGAGCATCCTGGACAGCGTGGTGCCTTTCATCAGCACCAGAGCTGACCCAGTTTCTGGGAGGAGCAGAAGCTGGGAGGTGAAAGCACTTCCTGTGTTGTTTTTGTTGGTAGACACACATGATTGGAGACTGATAATTTAAGGTTGAGCAGAGTTCCTGGTGAATTCAACTATTTCCTGTCTCTGCCTCCTTCCTGAACTTGAAGGCATTCATTACTCAGACCTATGGGTACAGGTGGGCTGAAGCCGAAATGCTTTAATACCACACACCTGGGAACACAATCCTGGTTCCCTTTTTTGGTGTGGTTTGGGTCATTTGTTAACACTGTTTTGGGGAAAGGAGTGAAATAGTAGCCAACAACTAGCTTTTGCAGGATGCCTGCTCTCTGTTAGGCCAGGCTGGGCTCCAGAGTGGCTGCCTCCCAGTTTTCCACTTACTGATTTTGTAAGTTTGGAACCTCCCTTTGGGAGAGGGCCTCACTTTCCTTATCTGTGCAAGGTGGGCTTTAGCACCACGTGGCTCCTGGGTATGGAGAGAATCACGTGGGATGACAGACCTTTGACCCTGCACTTAGTGTGGGGCACATATAATAAGCAGTCAGTAACTGTTAATGAATTGAATCCTAGTGATAATATTTTTCTATAGATGTTATTATTACACTCATTTTATAGATAAGGAAATGGAGAATGAAAAGTTAGAAGGGTAAGTGATTTGCTCAAGGACATGTGTCAGAGCTAGGGCTTAAACCTAGCTCTCTTTCAATCTGTCCAACATATTTTCTTCTACAGAACTTGGTTTCCAGCCTATGGAATAAGCACCATACAGAACCATCCAGGTGCTGGATACTACTTAGTGATTTATATGTAGCATCTCTTTTAGTGGATGTTGCATAGGACAGTCACTTACAAACCATTATTTAGTGCACCTTCAGTTTCCCCATCTGTAAAATGAAACCATTGATCACCGAGATTGAGGACACCAACCCAGGAACATGGCAGCCCAGTCTCAGGGGTCCTGGTATCACTAGTTGTGTGCATTTGCTTACCTCTGTGAGCTTTGGACTTGTTACCTGCACAGCGAAGACAATGTCTCCTCAACAGAGAATTAGAAGATTAGACACATATGAGGAAGGCCCCTATGGTATAGTGGGTGCTCAATCCATGACAGCTGTCACTAACATTTCTATTTCATATTCATGTCCTGGAAACAAACCTTCTTATCTTTCTTCTTCAGTCAGGACAAAAGGCATTCTCTGAGTTCTACTTAATGCTTCTTACTTTCTAAGCTGAGAACTGTTGTAACATTGCAGTTAAAAGTGTAGAGCTTGATTTAAAAAGCCTGAGTGCATATTCACATGTTAGCACTTACCAACTATGTGACTTTCAGCAAGTTGCTTCACCTCCCTGTTCTGTAGATTCCTATCTGTGGAAACTTCCACAGACTCCCTGGAACCACTGACTCACAAGTGAGCACTACCTTCATAGGGTTGCTGTAAGGATTGTATGAGTCAATTTGCATGAAGTGCCTAGAACAGACCTTGGTCCTTAGTAAGTCCTTGGCCCGTGTTGGCCTCTGTTATTCTAAACTAGTAGTGGCCCTTCAGCAGCCAGTGACAAGTGAGCAAACTGAAACCTGGGAGGGTTCAGGATGTGCCCTTCATTCTGAAGCAATGTTTGGCTGAGTTCATTGTTCTCTCTGGGGTCCATTTCATAAGCACCAACCACTCCCTGTCTTCCTAACCTGGGCTCAGCCTAGGAATTTCACTTTTTTATAGCTACAAAAACACTAACAGAAGGGAAAACAATCCTGCCCAGAAATTTCGCCTGGCCATTTTTGTCACTATGCCTACCCTGTGGGATGGTAGACATGACCTTTCCCCACCCTGTGTTCACATTATCCCCTAGGCTTGGGCAGCAGGACAGTAGCTTCATGAGGCCTACTCACGGTTAGAGAAGTGGAAGGAATTCAGACCCGGGATTCTCCCTAGGGTGCTTGATGCTCTGGCAGGAGCTGGTGTTCTCTGTTCCACTTTCACTCAGTTCCAAGCTACCTGTTCCCAAGAAGAGAGCTGTTTGCCTAACATGCTGGCTTCTGGGGGTTAATCTTAGTTCCAACTCCTAGTTAAAAAATACTTGACCAAAAAAGAAAAAAGTACTTGTCAAAAACAGAGCAAGTGATCAATGTAAATATATCTGTCTGTCCTGATTTGGGCTCTTTGCTACCCAGGAATATGGCAGATTTGTATTCAGGAAGAAGAAGTGAGATGGGGCCCAAGTGCTGCTAGGATGAGATAGTGGAGAGATGCATCATATAACCACACACAGAAGTTCCTGTTGCAGCACCCTGGGGTGGAGCTCAGCACTCTGTCTGAAGGCTGTATCTCCTTGTCCTGGGAAGTCTTGAGTGGGCACCGTTCAGTGATCCTGGGTGCTTAGGACTGGCTCAGGAAGCGGTCAGTCAGTAGTTCTAGAAGAGATACTAAAAGGCATCTACCTGGGAAAGTTGTACAGTGGGTTAAGTCCAGTCCCACTAGGGGAGTGGGGGGAGTGTCCTAATCAGAGCAGGCGGGCGGAGGCAGGGAGCAGTGTCAGATTCCCCAGCCATGACCCCCTTCCCCAGCTGGGAGTTTGCTGGGAGGCTCTAATGACTTCCGAAGCTCCTTCAGCTGGCTGCACACTCACAGGTCTCCCACATGGTGCTATCTCCTGTTGGGTGGGGTTTTCCTGCTCTGGGATTTCTTTTGACAGCTTTTGGGAGCAGAGGTTTCATTTCTGTCTAGAAGTAAATCTGAGTCTATCAGCTAGAATTCTCGTAATTTCTTTTTCCACTCTATGTTGTTCTCCTGTATGAGGCTTGACTTGGTGGGATCATTATGGGGTCATTCACTATTTGGTGAGTTACTTTCACCTATTTGGGAGCATGTGGCCTGATCTATATGTGGGATTTAAAGGAGTGGGAAACAGGAAGCTAGCCTGGTAGGTTTAATGTTTGTGTTTGGTATCACAACACTTCTCCAACTTGGGTTGTAACCCTGAATATGAGTAGGTAATCCGCCAGTCATCACTCTTCGGTCCCTAAAATAAGAGCTCAAGCCCACTGCCTCTCAGGAAATGCATGAGGACCATTTGAGGTGTTTATTAAAAAATACAATCCTGCACAAAGCCCTAGGTTTGATCCCAGCACCTACATGCATGCACACACACACACATGCACACACATGGAATCCCCACACTGGTCATATAAGGGCATTTGAGGAAATCAGCATGTTACCAAGCCCTGAAGTTATTTAGTATAAACTACCCAGGAACTTGTGGCAACTTCTGTAGACTCATGGAACCACTAACTCACACATGAGCACTTCCTTCCATGCAGCCCTAGGGAAATTCTCTGCTATCTCCGCTTCAGATCCGAATCTCCTGTCATGCATCTGCCCTCAACACATGTGGCACACGCCTCTGCATGCCTTCATATTGACAAGGCTTATTGGACTGTTAAACAGCCTGTGTCATTTAGAGTCATAACTGATAAGGAGGATCTTCAAACTAGTTACTACCATTTATGGTCACAAGGACAGGGGAGCAAGTAAGACAAAGAGTTTTCTGGTGTTTCATAAAATGTCTCTGAAGATGGGTATTGAAGAAGAATCTCTGTGATGATCTGAGCTCTTGCAGTCTTGTTGTGGTTAAGTCTGCAGAGCATCTCTAATTGTTTTGAAAGATCATGTTCATTTGGATGAATTCTGTTTGGATAAAAGAAATCATGTTCCAGCCCTGACTGTCCCATCAGGAACCACCTCTCCAAAAAGTGATATCTCATGAGAATGCAGATGACGATTTCCAAAGAGTGAACAGCATTGGTCAGTAGTTACTGCTCCCTCCCCCTGCTGACTGCTAGATATCTGTGGATATTTTTGAAATGTTTATCCCTCCTGATATTGTTATCTTGAGAGCTATCATATGAGAAACACAAATACCTTTTTCTTGGTTGTCAGAATGTTTAAAAACAACTTAGTAATTATGGAAAGCTGGATTAAAGACTCCATATGGGAGGCAGAAAACCTGGTCTCCAAGTCTGGCCTTGTCACTCACCAGCTGCTTGTCCCCAGGCACATCAGTCCTTGAACCCAGAGCAGACAGCACAGTGCCATCATGAGTACTTAAGAGACTTCTGGACTTCACAGCACCTTGAACGGATGCTTTGTAGTTGCATCTGGACCCCAGCAGTTTAATTCATTAAGTAAATACTAAATATCTTTGTGGAGGAAGGAAAGAGGAGGGACTGTATGCAAAAGACTTAACTCCAATCTGCAGAAGACATGAATATTCAACAAAAGAACACCCCAAGGGAATGAATTGAGTAACTGTAAGCAAGCCCCACACTCTCATGTTGCCAGAGAGAAGGGAATGAGAGTCCAGTAGTTCTCACACCCTTCCACAGAGGAGGACATGGGGGAGTTCCTGGCAGCCATGAGTCATCGTAATTATAGACTATTCTTTTCTGTTTAAAAAGCCACCACTTGAAACATAGCTCCTCGCCATTACAAATCAATTATAACCTGCAAACAGACCTTTGGTGTTTTTAAGTCTGTGTATTCTCTAAATGAAGACATAAATCATCCTTCTTTGAGGCCAGGAGGTCAGCGAGGTCATTCAGCTAGCAGGTTGAAATGAACCTAAGTGGGAGTAATTATCCATCAGTCCTTCTGAAAGCAAACTGATATTCTCATAAGGAATTATTTGTTATGTCTTCCAGGCAATTTCTTTCCTCACACCCTTGGCTGTTATTTGTGTGGTGAAAATTATCCGGCGAACAGACAAGACTGAAATTAAGGAAGCCTTCTTAGGTAGAGTATTCACAGTTCCTACTTCAAGGGATGGAACTGAACTTAATTAGATCATCACATTTTAAAAAATTTCAGTTGCATCCAAATGACTTTTCCTTTGCTCAAATTAAGATCAGGAAAAACGAAACAAGATAAACTCCAAGGCCAAAGAAAGTCAATGGACAGTTTATAAGAAAGGGGTTTCAGAGGGTGCCTGTTGCAGCTGTCCGTGGTGCTGACCGTTGTGCATTATCCTTATCAGAAATGCGCCTGTTCAGGCATCGTGGCAGGGTAGCAATTGGCTTAGACAGAGCAGATCTGAAACAGTCACCACTGATTGTCCAATCTCCCAGTGGCACCATATTATGGGCATTTCAGAAAGCACTATGTGCTGGAGGCAAAAATGGGTAAAAACGGTTGTAAATTAAATTAGAAACAAATTTCCTAAGTCATCTTCAGTTTGGGAACATTTTGGAAGCTAAACAATTGTCATGAGGTGAAGAGTGTGTCAGTCTTTGTCACTGATCATAGCACTACTGTTATAGATTGTTCCCAAGCTGAACCTTGTCTGCATATGACAACAGTGACATATTTTAGGTTTTTTCTGGTCTGCATATCAATCAAATGCTGACAAAATGTAAGTTTAAGAGATAGTCAACAGAAGTTAGCCTGTTTAACAACCAAAATAAACAATCTGTGGCTAGACCTTTAGCTTTTTGATGCTGAAGAAAATTGAATTAGGTTGATTTTTTTGATACCTCACATAAAAGCTATCTAAATACCCCCCAAATTTGTGTTTTGTGTATTGTATGGACTTAACAACCAGCTAGGTAGTAAATCTAGAAAAATGAGATTCCTCACCAAAGGGTGTGTTTTTAATCGTGCTGAAATACGGTCATTCCACTTCTGGATAAGGCCATGAGGATTAGGCTTTGGTCTAGGGTATATAGAACAGTCAGGGACTCTGCCCTCAACAACACAGACATTTTTTACACAACCAGGATTTAGATCCTATGTAGTTGAAAAGAACAGGATAACAGTATCCCTCCCAAATTAGCTCAAACAAATAAAGAGTTAAATATAGGGTTAAAATAAGCAACCTCAGAAATAGAAGAAGGGGAGAAGAAAATATGGAGGAGCCTTATGGTGACTGAGGTGGAGCTGGGCCATCAAGACAAGAGACTGCTCTAGCTCATGATCACCTCTGCCTGGAATATCCCTGCACCTTCCCCTCCCAGTCCCAGCCTCACTCTCCTGCCTGCACTTGCTTCATCTCTGCTGCCCCATACCTTTGGTTTATGCGAGGCTTGGGCTTGCAGTGATGGTCGCTTCTGCCTCATCTGTCTGTTTGTGCAGCTCCAGTGTCTACCACTGATGTCCACTGTATTTCTTGGTCCAGATCCCTAGTCAGACTTTGGCTTACTTTATTTTGCAGTCAGAACACAAAGTCATGAGTCTTTGGCCAGCCTGGGGTTGCCCTCTCTCAGGACGGGTAGGTTGGGGCTTGATCATACGGTCTTGACCTCTTCAACTGAGGTAGCAGAAAGGCCATTTTTCTTCATAAAGGGCACAGGTGCACTCCTACACATGGCTGAAGTGGCCTGGTATATATGGATGGATATCACTGTGATACCCAGGCATCCTTTTGGAGCCCTCCCAGTTGGCCTGGAAATCCCACGCTGTACTTTTGATTCTAGTTTCTCCCAGGCACAAAGTCTGAAGATAAATAAAGAACTATCTTTTGTAGTTGTTTTTATCATTTACTGCTGGCTTTTGGAGTTGGGCTGTTGTGATGTCAGGAAGTAGCTCACAGTTACCTTTTCTGGACATTTTCATTCTCAGCTAAATCTCCCTTAGGGTGATATTTCAAAATTGAACATCATCCTCTGCCTCCTACATGGTAACCAAGAAGGTGGAATTATTGAATGTTCTGTTTGCCTAAATAAATGAGAGGCTCCCCTGTAAAAATGATGAAGAGCCCATTGTGCGGAGAGTTTTAAAACAATCACTGCTTTTGGGAAGGCTTGGAAGTAGGGGATGAGGGATTGACCTTTAAATGCTAGGACAGAAAACTAGGTGTTTGGTGATGTTTGGAATTCAGGACTTTCTCAGTATGACTTGGGTCCCCTCTTTACCTAGGTAAATACACTTTAACTCAGGCTTCCAAACATGGGTGCATGTTGCTCCCCTTGTCTGTACAGGCACAGAGGCCACATGCATGGATTTAGAACTGGGTGTGGAGAGTGAGGTTTGCCCCATTTAGCATGGGGTTTTTAGGAATTCGTGCCGAAGAACACCCAGGTCTGTATAAAGAGAACCCTGTTACTGGAGCGCTGTGACACTGAATTTCCCATAATAAAACCAGCAAGAAAAGCCCTCTGATCTTGTGGAATGCTTCTAACCAGTAGTGCCCTCAGTGTGAGCCCCTTGCAAGCCAACTCAAAGGAGTTGTTGCTTTGAATCTCTTTATCAGACATAGTCTAGTTTGTCTTCCTGGCTCTTCTTTCAAACAATGCTGTGGGATTCAGTAAAACAGCCTACGAGCCAGGTCTGTTGGGTCACCTCTGATTGGAGCCATTTATTTCACTTCTTGTCCAGCCCAACAGTAGTCTGAACTGAGCATAGCCTGCTCTCTGATATGATGAGGGGCCCCTGTGTTGTTCCCCTGGGGGTTGTACTACTCAGATGAAAATATCAATCAGCTCATTGTACTTGCAGAATGCTAAGATAACCTCCACACTAAATATCATCACTCCAGTTTCCCATCTTTCTCTGTCTCCTTATGGTATTTGCATCAAAGGTTTGTTTAAATCACATCCACAAATATTTTAGCTCATGTACTTCAGACTTTCTGAAAAACTGCTCTGTGTTGAGACAGCCCACCAGATTCAGAGGTTGGAGGAGAATATAGCATTCTGGGTTGATGGAGCTATGTATAAAGTTCACCAAGATTTATTGAGACATAGGAGATCTGCTACTGATGCTTGTTCTCAAGTTTATCTGTCCAAAGGTCATACTCTAATCAGGATAAGAATGAGCCCAACCCCACTGGGAAAACACAGTAGGGAGCCTGCCATGAGAGCCCTAGCAGGTAAAAGACCACGATCATTTCCTTGTGGCCTCACAGCTCTCAAATGTGCTCTGAGTTTGAGAGAGAGGAGGAAGCTTGTGTTTTAGGAAGGAAGGTTTTGTGTGTGAAGAACACAAGTAGCGGATCTTCCTTAGTCCCCAACACTTGCTTCCAGCTTATGGACCCTAATTGCATGCTCTGTGATTCCATGGCAGTGTACGGGTGCTGACTCATGATCTGCTTGCCAATTGTCACCTGTCCTTCCTTTGCCACCCTACTTGGATATGGCTAGTGGCTCCCTGTCCCCACTTAGATGATTAATGTCCTTTTGACAAAGATGTTGTTTCAATTTGTCCCTCACATTTTGTCATCTTGTTGACAGCAGGTAGTTTTGTCCCAGTTTCAGTAGTCTGAGTCCTTGGTGACTGTGTTGGCCATTCCATAGTACTTTTCTCTTGATAGAATAACACATTTGTCTCCCCTGATGGCCATGAATTGCTCCAGGCAGCTCCTTCCCAAAATGCCCCGCCATTGCTGTCTTCTTACATAAATCGGAGCTAGTATTAAACAGTTAATATTTGCCAAGGGGAAATGGTAGCTCACATGCTTTATTATTCACCAAAGCAATGGAACAGGGCATCAAAAAGTTTTTATTGCTTATGTAAGGCATTTGACCTCCATCACACTGATGGTGATGGCTGTGCCTTGGCACACTCTTGATAAACCACTGGAGAGGGGCAAACAGCTTTTCCAGGGAAAGCTCTGGGATTCATATCACCTGCCCCATTTGATGAACTGGACTTCATCTGGTCAAATCTGTCCAAGTGGCTTGGAGAAGATCTCTGTGCTGTGGATTTTTAAATAATGTGTTCCAGAAGTACTTGCTGCTTTAAATGACAAAAAGCACCACCGTGGCAAACCTCCTCAAAACCCCAGGAGGCATATGGACTTTTCCCCTTTTCAAAAACAGTGATTTATTTGATAACAAATGGACAGCTGTCAGCAGGTGATGGGTCAACAATGAGATAGTGGCCTGGTGGGGATGTCCTGTTTCGCCATAGGACTCCAGCAGCTGCTCTGATTAAAGTTATATCTGAGGAAGTTGTCAGGAGGAAATAAAAATAGTTGTTTTTGCTACCAGTAAAAGAAATTCTATATGCTGCAGTATTAAATCTGTTCACATCTGGCCAGAAAGTGACAGATGGGCTACTCTGTGATGTAAGGGAGAAAAATTCCATGTCACAGGGGCCTGGGATTTTATGAATCACTCTCTAAAGTTCTGCCCTGATTATATTTGGCTCTAACAACTAAGTTTCATCTGTTTTTATGGTAGTGGTTCATATCTCTATGGTAATAAATTTAAAAGTATTACAGTGAAACGATGATGATGATGATGATGATGATGATGATGATGATGATGATGATGGTGATGACGATGGGTATCATGGGGATGACGATGGGTATCATGGGGATGATGATGGTAACAGTGCTGGTGGTGATGGTAATGATGGTGGTGATGGTGATGATGGTAATAGTGATGACGATGATTTTGATTTGAGAGCCTGCTGGTTATTTTTCTGTTGGTTTTGTCTTGTAGCTGTATCCTTGGCTCTTGCCTTGAATGGAGTCTGCACAAACACTATTAAGTTAATAGTGGGAAGGTAAGTTCCAAAAAGAAATAAATGGTGACTTAGATTATCAAAGTCATCTATATAGGAACCATAGTTTGAGGACATTGCATAGGACAAACTGGAGCTCTTTTAGTTTGTCTTTAAATTGTTTCCTTCTAGGGTTTTTGTCTTCATCACAGATCTTTTTTCTCCTTTGAATTATGAACTGTTTTAGAGAGCAAGAGATCAATAGTAAGAAAATGTCCTTTAATTGTACATTTTTATGGGCCAGTGCCTGCCATGGGCATTTCCAGGGCTACTCACTGCTACATGAGGGGTACACCAAATACCCACTCACTTTCCAGCTTTGCTTCCAATAAATAAATAAAGTTATTTATTTATTGTTCTGTTTGGGTTGAGATGTATAGATTGGCATTTGAGATTTGACTTACAGCACATTTTCCTCACCACTCCTAAGAAATAATTTCTGTTGTCAATTTATCTTTCTTTTTGCTATAACTACTAGTAGAGAGTTTGTACCTGTAGAGATTAGAAGTCCTAAAGCCTGAATTCAAGACCTGACTTGGACACTGACTAGTTACTGATGCACATGACAAGTGAAGTTTCCCTCTTACAACCTCAATGTTAAGTGATTATTGGCTTGGGGGAGGGTACTGACCCAGCACCGAGGGGGTGGAAGATGTGTAAGTCAGGACCCAACCTAGTGTTTTGTCAACTCTGTGTGCTTAGAGTTACATTGCGGTGTTGACAAAATGCTGGTTTCAAGGCCTTGCCCCTGTGAGGTTCTGGGTCAGTAGGTGGATAGCCACACTGGAGAAACACTGGCTGAGTTGGGGAAAGACAGTACACCAGGAGCTCTGATCAGCTACTGAGATCCCAGAGCTGTGGGGTGGGGCAGCAAGTCAGTGTATGTGACCCATAACCTGGTGTGCACAGAGAAGGAATGCTATATTTGTGGCATTAGCAAAGCCTCCCCCATGATAGGTGCTTAGGAAATCTTAGTTGGATAACTGTAAAGCACTGGGCCATCACATATCCTCATATGAGAATGAGGTGAAGTGTTTAGGCATAGCAGCCAATTGCTGGGGCTCAGAGCTTTGCCACTTAATGGTTGTGTGTGACAGTGGCCAGGAGTTTCATCTTCCTAAGCCTTAAGTTTTTGCGCCTGTAAAATGAAGAAATTTCTGGGATCAGACTCAGGATTCTCATAAGAGTCACATGGTATGATGAACTCACGGTGCCTCTCGCTGTGTGTAGAGCCTCACAAGTACTTAGAGGTGTTAGCTGTGGTTGCTGCAAAGTCTCAGCTTCTCAGTCAGGGATACCTTTCTGGAGGTCTCTCTCCAATGCCCTAGAGCAGAGTGGCCAACCTTAGTCACTGAGTTCTCTGTGTCATGCAGCTGAGATTCCAAGTCCTCTCAGTGAGGTTAACTGAGACCTGCTGTTGATCACTGAAATGAAGGACACAGAGTCACGAACACCTGGCATCTTGGATCCTAGAAGCAATCTCTGGATTGGTGGGGTAGTTAGTAGCTTGAGACAGGAAGTACCTTTTATTCCCTTGACATTGGGTTCAGGTCCTTCCTGTGTCATGTCACTTAATACTCAGCCCTTTACCTGTGGATAGATATTGACCAATTTCTGCCTTTTCCAGAGGTGGAAACTGAGGTTGAGAGAGGCTAAGTGACTTTCCTCAGGTCACAAAATGAGAAAGTGGTGAGCAAGAATGCCAATTCAGTTTTTTCTGACTCCAAAGCCTGAGCTTTACCCCAGCCACCATGTCCTGAGTGCTCTGCGGAGAGCTCAGTGTCAATAGCAGAGTGGGCTTGAGGAGGGGTTGGGCCCATGGGAGGTGGGGTCAGCTTGGGGCTCTTTTGTGATGGAAGCATGTTATATTGAAAATGTCCATGGTGTCTTTTGTAGACCTCGCCCCGATTTCTTTTACCGCTGCTTTCCAGATGGAGTGATGAACTCAGAAATGCACTGCACAGGTGACCCTGACCTGGTGTCCGAGGGCCGCAAAAGCTTCCCCAGCATACATTCCTCCTGTAAGTTCATGGCTGGGGCACTCTTTAGTGTCTCTGCTCACGTTTCCAGATCGCTGTCTGCAGGGGTTGAGAGGGAGAGAAAAACATTGGTACATGAATGCTAAGCACAGTTCAGTTTTCTTCACTGTAGGGGGGTTTGGCTTAGAAACAAGATGTTCAACAGGAAGTTAATAAGTTGCAGATGATGCTCAAGAGTTTACAGAATACCGCGAGTGTTGCTTTTATGAGCTGGACAAGGTATAACATGTGACACTTTACCCCTGGATAGTGAGACTCAGGAACTTGACAGTGCCAGGGATTTTGCCATGTTCTCTGACAGTGTTCAATTCAGTGTTGTCTAGTTTATTTCTTCAGTTCTGTGCATTTTATGTATACAAATACATAGCATATATATGTATACATATATTCATAATGCCTAAACAGATACTGGCACACAGATGCGCGCACGCGCGCGCGCGCACACACACACACACACACTAATATATAGTTAGACTATAGATGTGTGAGCTGGGACTGGCCTTAGAGCACGACTGAATAATTTGAACGAGGGGCAGTGCAGTGTACTAGAAAGAGCACAGGTCTTTGATTTGTGGCAAATCCCAACTCTATCTGATCTTACTTAGCTCTGTGATCTAACCTCTCAGAGCCTCAGTTCCTGCTGTGTGAATTGGGAATAAGATTATCTCCATTGCTGATTGGAGTGAGGATTGCAATAAGTGGTGATGATCACTAACACCTCTGGGCCTCCTGCCATGGTCAAATGCTACTGGAGAATGGTAATGGTACAGGTGAATACTCTTATTTAACCCACACAATAAGCCACACATAAAGCCCTTTAGCCCACATAAAGCTCTTAGAATCATAATTTCAGATAAAGAGTAGCTATCCCTATTATTATTAACTGCCAGAGCTGACATTTCCAGAATATCCTGACTTATGTCTGCATTCATTTTATCAATATTTATTAAATTATTTAGGTGTCAGACACTGTGCCAGGCATTAGGGTCACAAAAATAAATCAGATGCAGCTCACACTTTGAGGATCTCACAAGTTGGTGAATCTTGGGACATTTAGAGACTGTGGCTGACTGCTTGGGATGGGAAGGCTTTCTCAGGATATGGAGTCCTTGATTCCCCACAACTGTGATCACTACTTACCTGGGACAGGTCTTCTATCTTAATCTTTCCTTTTATCCCCCCCTCAACACCACACCCAAGATGCATTATGCTAGTGATTGGTCTGGGAAATGACAGAATGCTTTTTCCTATGGAGTTGCTATGGACATTTTTCCCAGAGCCACTGGAAACTGATGCTCAGGTGTCAGGTGCTCTAAAGCAATCACCATCAACCTGCACAATGACCTCTCATTGCTCTTCAACCCACAAAGACCCTGGAGCTCAGACAGCCTTCATAACTTGTCCAGCCTCTGACACGATAGTGACTCGTGCCTTTCGATGAAGTATTCACTGTTTATGTTAGTTTAAATAAATAACTCATTTTCTCTTCTGGGTTTTAGATCCTATAGTAGGTTACATCCTGGCTCCCCCCAAAAGATATGTCTAAGTCCTAGCCTCTGGAACTGTGAATGACTTTATTATGGAAAAAAAAGAATCTTAGTTAAGATAATGTGTTATGTACTGGGAATTTGATGAGAGTACTTTGAGGCTCTCACACTATGCCACACCCACCCACACACAAAGTACATGACGATCGAGGTAGGTATGTCAGCTTGTTTGACTGTAATAATCATTTCACTATGTGTATTTTTATTTTTTTATAAAACACTTTTATCTGGGAGGCTGAAGGAAGAGAATCACAAGTTAGAGCCACTTAGTATTTCATGAGATCCTATCTCAAAAAAAAAGAAAAAACTTAAAAAAGGACTGGCGATGTGTCTCTGTCCAAAGGCCCTGTGTTCAATCCTTGGTACCACAAAAAACCACCATTTTACATTTCCATTGCAGAAAAGAAAAGAAAGAAAGGAAAAACCAGGGTCTCTGCAAATGTAACTAAGGATCTTGAGGTCATTTTGGATTTAGGTTGGGCCCTAAACCCGATGCCAGCTGTGGATGTTAGAGAAGGGTAGGGGGAGATGTGAGACAGGAACACCTGGAGAAGGCCAAGTGAAGACACAGGCAGGTTAGAGTGGTGTGGCCGTGAGCCAAGTGACTCCCGTGGCCACAGAACCGGAAGAGGCAGGAACCAATGTTGCCCAGAGCACTGAGAGGGAACATGGCCTGGCTGAAGCCCTGGTTTTGGACCCTGGTCTCTAGAGCTGTGAACGAATGATGCTGTTGCTTTAAACCACCTACTTTGTAGAACTTTTTTTCAGCAGCAGCCCTAGGAAACAAATACAGAGATTCAGATTGAATACTTAATAAGCTGTGGGAAGGATTTGACTTTAGATTCATGAAATAGATTGAGGGAAAACATGTCCGTGTGTATATGCTGCTTTGAAGTAGCCACTGAGCTCTGTGGCAGGGGACATGACAGTGTATGAAGATGTGGGGCACAGGTTTCTTCTAGTGTCCTTCCTGTCACTTGGGGCCACACATCCATCTGGAATGGCTTCCTTTCAAACTCACTATTTTTCCCTATGAAATCACAGTTCTCCCTGCTTTGGAGGGATAGTAGGTGCTGTACCAGCTGGGGTGTTGTTTTGATTTACTGTTTCTTTATTCAGGGATTCCCAGACTGCCACTGTTTCCAGGAGCCTGGAATAATCTTCACCTTAGTTCAGCTCCAATCTGGTCCCCATGTCTATCCTTTAGATTTACTCAAGTCCTTTGTTTTTGTTATTGCTCTGAGTTGTTTGTTAGGGTATATTCTGTCCTCCTAAAGATTTAAGACAGTTTCAAGGGGCTTCAAAAATTAAAAGCACTGAGAAACTGAAGTCAATTTTCCTATGACAAGAAAAGCCAAATCCTGGCTTTTGAAATGGTTAACGGAGGACTGTCTCTTTAGAGTCTGCTGTTGAATTTGATCTTGGGAAGAAATAGCTCTCCTGTGAATATCTCATGCGGAAAGACGGCTGGATCTCAGGGATTAGTGGCCAGCCATCACAAAAATGTTTGTTTTAGATGCACATTCTCCCTTCCAATCATCAAAAACCTTTTTCTCTCAGAGCTACCCATTGACTGCCCTGTTGAATGTGTAGCTGATGTTGATCTGGGCTGGCAGCCTTTTTGGGAGAGGCAATGACTATATTTCTTTTCAGATGCTACTTAAAACAGTATGGATTTTTACTAGTTGGCAAATACTGAATCCTACCCAGCTTCTAGGCATTTACAGTGGTATTTTCATCTACGCTCTTTCTTCTGTTTATGATAGGGCAGCGATTGGCTTGAAGTGAGCTGCCATATCCAGTTAGAAAAACCATCAGTTCTGTTTTGTGGATTTCTTATTGTAGATTACAGGAAGCCTTGTGGTTCCTATAACTTGTTGTTCCTCAGAGGAAGTGACCTTGGTGAATGCTCATTTTGTTACAAATATTTCATCTTCCTTTAAAAAATCAATTTTCTAGGCCGCACTTGAGTGAGTGTCAGAGGTTTCTGTACAAAGGGATTTATTTCCCAGGCTATGGAGACATGGGTTTTGTTTCTCTCTGCTCACAGATAATTGGATCCAGGAAGATAGTCCATGTCTTCACACTATCTGGAGAACAGTTTTTTTGGGGGGACTTTAAGAACAAATATTGATTTATTTAGGAAACAAAGGATCTTGTTCTTATTCTATGATAAGCAGCCAAACAACTCTAGCTGGAGTACTTATAAGGCCAGTTCTCTGCAAATAGGGTGAACACAGCAGCATTTTCAGAACTTACTGTATGAGGCAGTGGAAGACCTCTTTGACTAGAAGGCCAGAGGCCAGTTTCTAAGAGCAAGGGGTTTCCTTCCAAATTGGGAGAAGCCTGGGATTTAAAGAGGAGATAGGAAGTGTGTCTTCCCCCAGGGCCTGAATGCAGGGATTTTTCTGCAAAGGGCGTTGTCTGTTATAGTATAATATCAACTTCTGACTGGGTATTGATTCAGCTTCCAGGAAGAAGATAGATTTAAGAAAGAAAAGTAGAAGAAAACAAATTACTGTCAAGTCAAGCTATAGGGAAAGGCCTGTGCTGTAAAAATGTTGGAAGTGAAGAAAGCAATGGGCTGTCTAGGTGTCATCACGTGACAGCACGAGGCCCACATCCAGGGGCTGTGTGTTTCTGTAAATTAAGTTTTCCTGGAATGCAGAGATTCCTTTTCATTTACATGTTGTCTGTGGTTGTTTTCACTTTACAGTGACAGAACTGAGTCCTTGCAAGGGTGACATATGGCCTACAAAACTGAAAATAATTTTTTTTATCTGAGTCTTTACAGAGAAACGCTGCCACCTGCCATACTGCAAACCAGTAGAATTAAAAGGCATGATCAAAACCAAACCAGTGTACAACACTGGGCATGTGGTTGCTTCATTTTTAAACAACTCCATTATAGCATAAAAGGGGCAGCTGTTGCTTGTGGTAGTCACTATGTAAATGGCAGAGAAGGTCTGAAAGGTATGCCTGATTGATGGAGATTCAGTAGATTCTCCTGGAGCCCTTACTGTTTAGTAGGTCCTTGTCTAGCCATGTGGGAAGAGAACAAAGGAGTGTCATGGTTCATATCTTTTGTGAGGCTGAGGGCAAACACTAAGCACTAGAGCACCAGGTTCTGGGATGAAGATGCTGGGAATGCCCATTAGGACACAGGGACAGCTGCCAGGGATGAAAAAGGACTTTCTCCCACAGATGCCCACCAAAGACGCCATAGAAGTGATGTGTTTTGAGATTTTTATGTTTGAAGTGCCTTAGTTCTATTCTTCTGGCACATGTAGAATTCCAGGTTGAAAATCGTTTTCTTGCACAACTCCAGTTTACAGTGCACCTGAGAGAGGTGTGCGAGTGTTGCTTTTCTTTGCTTTTTCTCTTTCGTCCTTTGAGACCTCTAGGCCACCTGAAGTTTTACAAAGGAGTAGCTTT